AAAAAAACGGAATTATGAAAATATCAAAAAGTTTAAAAAATTGTTGAGAAAAAATTTAATTAATTCTCGCAATGTAAAATGTAAATGAAAATTTAATAAAGTAATTTAATATTTTATTTATAGTCTGTTTTGTTAAAATATGAATAATATGAAATTTATCACATTTCCACATTTTAATAAAGTACAATTTTACTGATATTATTAAAAAATTCTATTTTAATAATTAAATATTATATAAATTATAATTAAAATTTAAATTTTTATATAATTTTCATTTTTTTTATTTGCACACACACACATATATATATATATATAAAAGTGACATATTTTGTTTGATACAAAATCGACATTTACGTCGTTTTTTTAGAAACTATATTTAAAAACTCAATTTTCCTATTTCTCTCGAGTTTTACACACACACAAAAAAAAAAAAATTGCTGTCATTCGACGATATCGTTGCATTTAATCTTGATTCCCTGGAAACTGAATAACTTTCCCATAGCTCATACCCCTTTTTCTTCCCCTCGATTTCAAAATGCCCCTATATTTCAAAAAGCTATTTATTTTTATTTCCACTGGAGATTAAATTATTTTTAAAAACGATTCGATTGTTTAAAATCACATAATATTATTCAATTTTTTTTTTCATCAATAAATATTAAATGACAGAAAAAATTTTTTTTATTTATCCAAAAAATGTTTTGTGAGAAAATTTTGTTTTATTTATTCGCAGGGGAAATTATTTTTTTTTTTATGTATCAAACCATTGTAATTGCTTTGATAATTACTGTAAAAAAATTTATTAACTAATATTAATTAATTTAATTTTATTAGTTAATAATTAATTTTATTAATTTACCATTTTTTTATTTTATTTTTAAAATTTTATTCATTTTGGCATTATTTTATTTGCATATTCGTTGTTAAAAAAAAAAAAAGGAAATTTGTTTGAAAAATCGTGTTTGCTCAAAAATAAAATTTTGTTAAATAAAATGCTTTTTTCATTTTTATTCGCGCTCATGATATAAATTAGCAATTATTTTATCGTGGCTGCTGTATGATTATATTTATAAAAAAAGAAAAATGATATCCATACAAGTTAGGTATTCAACTCATTCAAACCCTTTTTTTTTGCATGTTAAATACTAATTCTGTTAATGGTTCCCATCACACGTGTCACGATTCGTTTGGTTTTATGCACACGTACCATATTGCTTGTATAATGTGAATGTGCGGAAACACATTGCATTTCCACTGTGTTGACGCAAAAGCGTTGTATTTTGAAGAGCGAGAGAGAGAGAGAAAGAGAACAAGAGAAAGCCCACTTTCCATGGACTATCAGGGAAAATTTTTCCCACTCTCCCCCTCTTCTCTATTTTTACTCTTGACGTGCAACAATAAAAGCTCCCAACGTTCAAGCGGATGAGTTTTTCATTTCGTTGAGTTTTTGAATATAAAGAAAAAGGATCTCATTTCAGAACCCAAGCTTTTTATGTTTTCGGCTTCTTCTTTTTTTTTTCTTCTTCTTTTATTTTTTTTTCTTGCCACTGGTTCGTAGCGAGAAAATTTTTTTTACCAAAAGATGTATAATGAGTGCCGAGCTTTTTTTTTATAAATATATAGAGAATCTTTTTTTGCAGAGGAAGCTTCATCATACTAATAGATGAGTAATTAAGCTGAACATAAATTTCACGAATCTACTCCCCTCTAATAGATTTTCAACGAGAACAGAGAGAGAGAGAGAGAGAGCGTCGATGTTTACACGTTTCATGCTATATTCAGAATAGTGGCGCGCGCGCGAGAACTGTAATTTCTGCGTTATAATTAATTGTACATGGAAACCGCTTTATATTAAATGTTCATACACTGGACTTACTGCCATTGACCTTCTATTTAATAATAATTAATTGAATTGTGTATCAATTTTATTATTCACTATTGTTGTGTGAATTTTCAGTTTATCTTTCAATATAATTGGCAAATATTGTTTCCTACTCGGTTTCCTATTGTTTTTCGTTCATAATTTATGTCAGTTTAGGAAGTATATTTATTTAGAAAAATTTTTTTGCGGCAATCATCGAGATGACTACAACCACCACGTTGCTAAACCTTAATGATTGAAAAGATTCCAATCACCGTTTTTAATTACTTTCACATTTTTTTTTTCATTAAACTATTTTCAAGGTTTTCTCTAAATCTGAATTAGTAAAAATGTTTACCGATTTGAATTAGTGACTCACTTTTTGCTTCTTAATTAGTAAAATTCTACTAATTATTAGTAACTTTTACTAACAATTAGTAAAATTTAACTAAATTCTAAAGCAAAAAGTCACTAATTTAAATTAGTAAACATTTTTACCAATTCAAATTTAGAGACTTTTTTAGAGAAATTACAGAAAAAAATATTTTGCATTAAAAATGAAAATTACAAAAAAGAGGTATTAAACATGGTAATTACATTAGCTAATGAGTAATTAAAAATAATTACGAGTTTCATAAATACATTTTGTATGAAACCTGATAGCAACTGTCATTTATTGACAATAATTATATGGCAAAACGTAGGCGTTTGATTTCAGTTATCAAAACAGGTCGGGCATATATATATATATACCAGCAGGGAAACTAATTACCCGTACCCATTAAGCTAAATGTATAAAGCGATTGTTCTTTTAAGTTAATTTTTGCCTTTTATTGTTTTGCACATTTTAAAATTTTAACTCTTTTAAATTTAAACTCTTATCATATTATGCGAGTGTGCGAGACATGAACTTTTCATGTGCCATAAAAACTTTTAATTCTCTTTTCACGCTTCCAAAGCGACATGAACTATCAAATCATTATTATTCCAAGATTAGCGACACGTAATTTATTATAAACTCGAGTTCAACTATGTAAATTTTATTTCTTTTCTTTTTTTTTCAAAAAAAAAAAAAAATGTTGCTCTATCTATGTTTATTTCTAGAAAATAACTTGTAGTAATGAATATGTTCTCAGGGTTTTATTAAAACAGGTTTCAATATTCAAGTTCATGAGCGCTCCGATAAATTCTTTTTATTACTCGCACTCTTTTTATCATTTTACAAAAAAAAAAAATTTTATTCTCAATTTCTTATCCAAAATCATTGTCATTTATTTTCTAAATATATTTTAGTAAAAAAAAAAAAATTATTATTAAATATATGCCAAGAAATTATTCTTTTCAAAATTATAAAAAACTAAACAAGGAAATAAAAATGAAGAAATAAATTCTCAAGAAATGATAATAATTCGAATAAAGATTTACAGAAATATAAATTTTAAATTTATGTGGTTTTTTTTTAAACTTATATATATATATATATATATATATATTGTAATTAATTATCATGGATTGTAATCCAAATCATATAGTGATATGAATCACAATTGCATTGTTTTCAGTAATTAACGAACCGTCATTAACAATAAGCTTGCAATTCCCTCGTTTGCTTGTTTCCTGACGCCCATAGACGTAATCCTCAACCTGCCATCACATGCGAGCAGATTATGTTAAAACTGAATCTACTTGAGATATCTGAGTCCGCGGCTCATCAGATTAACTTGTCTTAGCTACTCGTGGGAAATCATGGTCTCGTGCAAAATGTTCGATTAAAGTCGACACACGGGGGCAAAATCTTAAATTAGAAAGAATAAAGACGCAATTATTCTTATACTCAGTTAAAAAGAAAACACATCTCTATATACAATAGAAATTAAAAAAAAGGAATTTATTTATAAAATTGAAAAAAAACATTGTCTGACTGTTATTGTCTTTTTCTACTTAAATGGAAAAAAAAAATTTTATCTACCATTTTGTTTTTCGTTTATAACATTTTTTTTATTCCTTTCGGGTTTTTTTCAACTTTTGGAACTTTTTTTTTTACTAATTTGACACTTTCTAAATTTAAATGGATGAGAATTTGTTCATTAATTTTTAGTTCTTTTTCATTAAAAATACTCTCTAAATCTGAATTAGTAAAAATGTTTACTAATTTAAATTTAGTGACTCACTTTTTGCTTAAAAATTAGTTAAATTTTACTAATTTAGGAGCAAAAAGTGAGTCACTAATTTAAATTAGTAAACATTTTTACTAATTCAGATTTAGAGAGTAGTTTAGTATTCTCTAAATTTTAATTAGTAAAAATTGTAAGTAATCTAAAATTGTGATTCACTTTTTGCTTTTTAATTAGTAAAATTTCACTAATTAATAGTAAAAGAAATTTTATTTACTAACGAATTAGTACAAAATTTAACTAATTCAAAAGCAAAAAGTGAGACACTAATTCAAATTAGTTAAAATTTGTACTAATTCAAATTCAGAGATTGAAATAATATATAATTACTAAATTAAATAGTAATATTTTACTAAAAATTAGTTAAAATTTCCACCATTTTTTAGACATTTTTCACTAAAAGTACACTTTAGTGAAAAAATATTATGAAATTAAATAGTAATATTTTACTAAAAATTAGTGAAAATTTCTACTTATTTTTAGTCAATTTTTCATTAAAAATATTTTAATAAATTAATATTACTATATCAAATTGCAATTTTTTACTAAAAATTAGTAAAAATTTCCTTTTAATTTCTAGTCATTTGTCACTAAAAATATATTATTAACACATATTACTATATCAAATTGTAATATTTTAGTAAAAAAAATTAGTGAAAATTCCTGATGATTTTTAGTCATTTTTTTACTAAAAATATATTAGTAAAATAAAATATTAGTAAGTAATATCTTACTAAAAATTAGTGTAAATTTCTATCAATTTTAATTAGTGGACTGTCAGTGTAACAATCGTTTTTTTCGTGTGTTATAAAAATAATAATAATTATTAGTATTATTTATATTAATTGTTAAGATTTTTTAAATTTTTAAAAAGAAAAAAGAAAAAAGTAGTTAATTTTTGTTTTTTCAGTAATGCATTTAAAAAATGGAGATTCTGATTTTGTGTGTGTTATTTATGATTCTAGATGTGCGAGGATTAATTGAGGTGTCAATACGAATACCCCCAGCCGTTGCCGAAAATTCTACAGTCAACATGACGTGTCGCTATAATTTGGGAGATTTCCCATTGTACTCTGTTAAATGGTACAAGGGAAATAAAGAATTTTATAGATTCATACCAAAGGAAATGCCACCTATGAAAGTGTTCCCACAACTTGGAGCAAAAGTCGACGTAAGTCAATTATTATTAAATATAAATCAATTATAATCAAATAAATAATAGTAATTACAAGTTTTTCATTTATTATTTAATAAAGGAAAGAATTACTTATATGTAATTAATTATTTAATTTCAATAATTAAATTATTTGATAATTATTTAATTTAATTATTAAATTATTTGATAATTATTTAATTTAATTATTAAATTATTTGATAATTATTTAATTTAATTATTAAATTATTTAATAATTAATTAATTTAATAATCAACTTTTATATTTCTATATTTTTTATTATTATTATTTAGATACGTAATTAATTGAGTGGATTAAATTGAATATACAATAGGTTTTGTCGCGTTATTTACATTTAGACTCTGCGTCAAGGGAAGCTGAGAGATGATGATTCTAAAGATCTCATGAGTAATGCTCCTTACAAAGGACATTTTGAAGCGCGCGCAATTATCTTGTCGACTGATAGAGAAAGAGAGAGAGAGAGAGAGAGAGAGAGAGAGCTATATAACGGATGGGAGGCAAACTCATTGAACTGGAAAAGGATTTGGTCGTACAGGGTTTCCAATCGTACGTTAAATTACGGAACTAGGAGACCGTCTTCGGGTGGGGAGGGGGGAGGGGGCCAAAATCTCTTGGCAAAGCGTATAATGAGAAATCTTATATATAAGGACTAAAGTTTGTTATGGATCGCTGACGAATCCGCACAGACTTGTAATTGGCACATTAATTTCTACTTTAAACTTCAATCTGATTCAATAATTAAATTTTGATATCAAAAGCATAATTGAAAGATACATACAATTTTCAATATTACAACAATTAGTGCAAAATATATATATGATATTTAAAAGCAATTTTGTACTTTTTTTTCATTTTTCATTTTAAAGTGGGAAATAATTAATAATTATATAATTATAAAATTATTGTAAAAATGTTTAATTATTCATTTTTCTTTTTAAAATGAATTATTTGTTGAAAAATAAATAATTATTATAATAAAAGAGGGATACGTTTTAGATTGAGAATATAGTTTGTGATTAGTTGAAAATTATCAAAGCACAAATGCAAATTGTCAATGCGGAAACTGTAGTGACAATGGATTTTCAATTAGATCATCAAATAGAAAGTATTGTCACTAAATGTGACAATAATTTATTCGACAGACCGGAAAATTGGCCCCATTCGTATAATTGAATGCTTCATTACACAATAGTTAAAAAAAAAAAATTGCTACCATTTACATGGTAATAAAAAAATATTTTTTCATTTATAAACATTAAAAAAAATTTTTCTTTTTTCTCTCAACCTCATAAAATTCTAAGTTTCAAATATAAATCACAATTTTTTTTTTACAAAATTTATTTCGAGTTTAAATAGTTATTTGTAAAAAATAACCAGAATTTTTTTTTGTGGTGCCAGTATATTAATTAAAAGTTTTACAAAAGCAAAAAAAATATTTTCATGAATTAAAAAGTTTTTAATCCTTGCCCTTATATATTGTTATTATATAATAATGAAGCTTTTCAGAAATTTTAAATAAATAAGAAAATGAAAGCAATAGAATTTGAAAATTGATACTAAATTAGAAAATTACAAACTTTTGTAAATTTAATTACAAAATTCATAATTGATTATCGACAGGTCCTTGTAATAAATTTTACATGGTGTTCCCTCTTACTCTCTTGCGGTGATCGTGATTCTCCATCGTCGTGGCAAAATGTAACGTTACCAAAAGTTACCGCACGCCATAGTATATATATATATATATAGAGAGAGAGATGAAAACGTGTATGTGGCACTTGCGGAGCGAACAGGTCAAAATTGATTGTATGATTCATAACGCTGCCACCGGCAACATATAATTAATCGTCGCTGTTGCAAAAGGAGAAAGGGGTGAGAAGGAGGGGGGGGAGTATTGTTTGTTGCGCGAACGTGCGTGAGAAGATCGATCGATTTGCAATAAATAGCCCCTTCGGTTCAGTATGCTTGGTCAATTCTGTGGTGAACGATGCTAAATTAACTCAAAATTCGGCAGACATTGCCTGTCATCACTTGTGTTCGTTTGTGTAATGTGCAATCATTGATGAAGCATTTTCCAAATTCCTGTTTCCGACATACATACTTTCCTATGGTTTCCCTCTCACGTCAAGTTCTCATTTTCCAAAATAGTTACATAAACGATAATTAAACATTTCCTTTCAAATTCAATGATGCATCGTTCTGCATTGAAATTTTTTCTTTTATACCAATGAATTTAGTACAAATTTTCGAATATTAAAAAACAGAAAAAACGCTGGGTAAATTTTGTTGCGGGTAATTTTAACCAATGCTAATTCACATAGACGGTGGCGCCCTCAACTAGGATAAAATTTGTTGCAGGTAATTTTTATACCGATTTTGGGGTAAAAATTCTACTTTTTTTTTCGTGTGAACTTTTTGAAATTTCATTTCTTTATTCCAGGTAGAAAAATTAACATTACTAACGTTACTAATATTACTAACGTTACTAATGTTACTAACGTTAGTACCTATAAAAAAATTAAGAAAATGTTTCTAAATTGTATTTTTGCAGAAACTTGTCGAAAATCGACCACCAGGAAGTATTTAATGTTCTTACCCGCACTTTTTATAATTTTCGTTTCTATTATCACTTCCACTTTTTTATTTTCATTACCGTTTCCACTTTCACTTTTTCTAATTCTCATTCGCACTTCCATTTCCACTTCCACTGTTTCTAATTCTCATTTCCACTTTCACTTTTTTATTTTCATTACCACTTTCACTTTTTCTAATTCTCATTCGCACTTCCATTTCCACTCTTTCTAATTCTCATTTCCACTTTCACTTTTTTATTTTCATTACCACTTCGACTTTTTCTAATTTTTATTCCCACTTCCCTTTTTCTAATTTTCATTCCCACTTCTACTCCCATTTTTTCCACTTCTAATTTTCATTAGCTGTTGCCATTTCGACTAAAACTCTTTCTAATTTTTATTTACACAACAATTTCCACTTTTTTTAATTACCATGGATGGAAATTAGAAAAAGTGAAAGTGATAATGAAAATTTAAAAAATTAGGAATGGAAGTGGGAGTGAAAATATAAAAAAGTTGTAATGAAAATAAAAAAGTGGAAGATGAAATGTGAATGAAAATTGGAACAAGTGGAAGTGAAAGTGTGAATGAAAATTAGAAAAAGTGGTAGTGTCAATGAATATAAAAAACTGAAAGTGGAAATAGGAATGGGAATGAAAATTAGAAAAAGTGGATGTGGCAATGAATATAAAAAAGTGGAAATGGGAATGAAAATTAGAAAAAGTGGAAGTAAAGTGGGAATGAGAATTAGAAAGAGTAGAAGTGAGAATGGAAGTGCGAATGAGAATTAGAAAATGTAGAAGTGGAAATGGGAATGAAAATTATAAAAAGTTTAAGTGGAAGTAAAAGTGAAAGTGGTAATGGGAAAGTAGTGGCAAAGTTTCTGTAAAAATATATTTTAGAAACTCTTGAATTTTTTTATAGGTACTAACGTTAGTAACATTAGTTATGTTAGTAACATAAGTAACGTTAGTAACGTTAATTTTTTCACCTGGGATGCATTAAATTTTGTTTTAATTAAAATTATTAGTTTAATAAATATTATTTTTTTTTTCTTGGTAAAATATATTTTGAATATTAAACTTTTTTCCCTTCGAATTAATTTTTGTCATCTGTTTAATTTACACACAGAAAAATTTGTTATTTCCGTTTTTTTGAGAGAAATTTTATTTGAAATAATTAAAAATATATTTTTTTTATTTGTTTTATATAAAAAAAAATTATTTACATCGGATAATTTTTTTTTGAAATAAGAATTATTATAATATTCAGTAGAAAAAGTACATTTCTGTCAGACAAATTAATTACATTCGGCAAAATATTGTGTTCTTTAAACGAAAATTTTGTTTTTTTAGTGGAAATGGATATTTAGTGTCAGACATAAAATCGGGTTTTCTACTTTATTTTGATTAATAAAGAAGTCATTTATATTTTCAGTAGAAATAGACGTTTTCGGTCAGACATTTTTTAAATTCCTTTATAACTAGTTCTTTATCTAATTGGGCAGTTTTCATAAGTAAGAATAATATTTTCTTAAAAAAATTCTGATTTTCAGTGCGGTAATGGATATTTATTGTCAGACACAACTATATTTTATTTAGCCAAATTGGTTTTTTTATTAATGAAGAAGTCATTTACATTTTTAGTAGAAATAAACTTTTTTGTTTAGACATTTACAAAATTACTTTATAACTAGTTTATTTTTATTGGATTGGACAGTTTTTCAGTAGTAAAAATTCTTCCAATTTTTTAGTAGAAAGAGACGTTTTTGGACAGACTGTGAATAATCTTTCAATCATATATCACTGACTAAAAAAATATTCTTTGCCACATTTAGAATTGACAAATAATATTGTAGTATAATAATTTTACTTTGATAAAAAAACTACACCAAAAAAATTTTTAATTAGCGTTTATTTGAGATAAATATAATTAATTCGAAGCAAATAAAAATATTCCTTGTCTCAGAGCCTAATAACTTATTATTTGTTTTAAATGAAAAAAAATTTGATTAGCACAAATAAAATTTTATTTAGCACAATATTGTTTATAACTCAAATAAAATTTGTTTAAAACAAATATACATTTATTTGGCTCTGAGGTAGATATATCTTTTCTCTGGTTAAAAAAAGGTTTGTTAATTATATTTATATTTTAAAAAATATATTTATAATATATTTAAAAGAATTTAAAATATTAACAAAAATGTTTTTAAGTCCAATTTCATATACGTAATGTGCGACAATTTGTAATTTCATCTTAAATTTTTAATAGAATTGTACAAGTTTAATTGAATGGCACAATTTTAATTGAATGTTACAATCTTAATTGAATGTTAAATTTTAACGAAATCCTGTGATTTTATAATTAAATATATATATATATATTTCTATGTATTACAATTTGAATTACATTGAACGTAATTTTAATTAAAATTTAACATTTTAATTTCGTACATTACATGTTTAAGAAAAATCATAAAATTTAAAAAAATGTTTAATTTACATTTTTGATTTTGATAAAATACAATTATAAAAATTTATACATTATTTTCAGGTTAATCGAAGTAATTCACATTCCGTTATAATAAAAGACGTTCAAATGGACCTAAGTGGGAAATATCGCTGTGAAGTATCAACGGATGCTCCAAAATTTTACACAAAAGTCGAAAGTGGTTTTTTAAATGTTGCACGTAAGTAAATAAAAAACAAAAATCACCAAAATTTACTTTTTTATTTATGTAGAAAACATTTTTAATATATTTTTCTACTATTTAGGTGGTTTTTCATTTTTTTTTCTTTTTTAACATTATGAAGATGAAATGAGAACTTTAATAGTAAATCGATATAGAATATAAATCCATTAACCTTTTCCATGACGCCATACGGTGTCAGCGACATTTTAGGTGAACAATTTTTTTTTTCTTGACGCAACATATGGCGCCACTTGCAAGGGATTAAGGGTTTTTTTTTTTTTTTTTGCAAGCAACGTTCAACAATTTTATGTACACTGAAAAAAGGGAAAGCTTTCAAAAATTCATATTCCAAATTTTCACATTAACACAGTATGAAAAATAAATTGAATTTTTTTTTTTTTTTTTTTTGATAAAAAGAGACTTTTTAAAAACATTTTTTTCAAAATATTGGTTTTTAAGGATAAATTTTTTTGATTTTTTTTAAATTCTCTCAAAAATTTATTAAATCACTCATAAATATAATGGAAATTTGATTTTCTTTTAATTTTAGGGTTTTGTGGCCAAGGTCCGAAAGTCTTATAGTTTTGCTTTGGCGTCTGTCAGTCCGTCCGTCGTACACTTGTACGGTTGCCATGGTAACAATTACCATAGCAACCGTTACCATGACAATCGTTTCTATTGCCGTTTTTTTCCTTAGGAGGATTTTATTTTATATTTTTTTTTTTTGCGAGTAGAAAAAAAATAGCAAATCTGCTTTGGAATTTCTTCTAGAATATCAACGAGGATTTTAAATTTAGAAAAAAAGGTCAAAAAGTTTTTGTATGGAAAAAAATTGTTTTTAGCACCTTAAAAAAAAAAGGGGGAATATTCAGGTCGTGAGAAAAAAAAATTTTTTTCGTTCCATCGCATGTGGTTTCGTCGATTGTCAACTTTGTGAATTAGGTTGATGAAATTGTCGGCAAAGTTGAATGAATTTTGATTAAATAGCCAACGGGGAATAATATTGGGAAGTTTGTTGTGCTCTTGTTTCTCATATAGCACTTCGCAAAACGGTATGGTTCGTGCAATCTTGAATGTATTGTGAGTTGCAGCTTGTTTCCGAACTAACCAAACTAGGATGTCCAGGGAAATGGCATACTGTGATCAATGTTACACAGGGAAAGACCTCTTCCACACCGACGCGACAACTGTTTTGATCATCTTGGAGCTTATTCTCTAACTTTGATGTACACACATATATATATATATATATAACACTGTTCTCTGCACGTCTGGTTGCCTACGTTTCGTTTCCCATTCTCTCCTTCACTACGTTCCCAGTTCCTTTCATTTATATTCTGCACATGCATAGCCGTAAAACTTTCCCAAGTATAATTCGAGAAGAACGACTTTCCAAAGCAAAAATTTTCCCACTTTTCTCCTCACGCTCTCTTTTTCTTCTTCTTCTTCTTCTTTTGTACATAGTGTTGTACTGAAATTCCACCTTGAGGTAACTCGAGAAAGAAGGAAAAGTGACTCTTTTTATTTTTCCAATAGGATAATCGAAACTTGTGTGTCTCTTCTATATAAAGAAAGATTCGACGAGAAAATATATTGAAACGTATGCGTTTTAAAACTTTGCTGGCGAATTTTTCAAAAGCCATTCTCTATTTGTTGAAGAAAAATAATAACTTATCAGAAGGCATCAAACTTTTTTGTTTAACGTTAAAAAATAATTTTACAATTAAAAAAAGAAATTTCAACCTGAATTTTGTTGAAAGATTTATATTGTAAGTCAGAAGAAATTTGAATATTACCGCGCTCTGCGCAAAAGGTGTCTTGCGCATCTTTTCGAACTTCGACCGTTTGCTCATAGGTAGCGCGCGCTTTCTTTCTCGAAATAATTTTTTTTTCCTATTCAAAAGTTTTCTATTCTTGTTTTTCAAATTGTAGAAATAAAATTTAGAAATGAAAATAGAAATTAAAACCATCTTTGCAATTATTTTCTAAATATTCTAATAAATGACAAAAAAATTTCATAAAATTTTACTCTTTAAAATTTCTGTAGAAAAAAAGATCGCAATTCTTCTAACAATGATCGCACTAAAACAACAGCGGAAGCTATTGATTCCAGTCATATTATTACGGATCCATTTTCCTTTTTTTTCAACCTCAGTGGACCGTTAAATTTTTCAGTGTGATACGCCTCCCTTCAGTGACAGGTATGGTCTGCATATTTCACAACCGGGCCTTCTCTTTTATCGTTTTGGTTTCACCCCCCCTCTCTCTATTCTCCTTAAAACGTTCAAAGATATTCACACACAAGCATTGTCATCCTTAATCGCAGCCAATTAAAACCAAGTTTCCCGGAGCTCGTTTCTACGTATGGAAGTTGCGAGGATCAAGGGAAGGGGAATCAAGAATTCCAGGATTGGTCGATATAGACCTGTCGGTGGCAATTTCATTTCCAATGATCGCCAAGCATTTTCAACCGTAAAAATTGCAGTTTCTGTCTGCAAAAAAAAAAAAAAAAAAAAGAGGAGGAAAAGTTTTTTTTATTGCCTTCGCTGTAATTGTTCGCTTCGTTGAATTTGCTGGATTAATTGGATCACTGTTCCTCTCACTTACATGATGGATACACCCCCTCCTCTTTCTCTTCTCACCGAAAAAAAAAAACATTCACCAGAAATCGATTAAAAAACTACAATATTATAAATTGAATTTTTTATTTTAGAATTTTTTTCCAAGCTTTTTTTTTTGAATTTGTTTCTGTGGAAATTCAGTCAGGAATATATGAATGATTTTTTTTTATGATTTTCCCACATTTTTACATGAATAAGAGTTCCCCCCTTCTTTACTTAATTCAACATCCCACAGGCTTTATGAATGATTTCCTGCGCTTAATTTCTCAATGGCTATTCCTTATATATAGTTAAGGTTATTATATTATTAAAAAAAAGCACTTTCCATTATTTTCCCAGATGAATGATGGATGGGGAAGTGGCTTAGTAGAATTAATCTTCATAAAAATTGAAATTTTATATATAAACTGATTTTAAAATTATTCTCTGTTTATTACTTCTGTAATGATTTGATAGAATTATTCTAATATTTTGGAATTTTCGGCCAAAGTTAACTTTTTCGCATTCTATGAAATAAAATTATAAATTTTAGTTTTCATTATACTATTTTTTGAATCCAATCAGGTTTGTTGTAACAAAAAAAATTCTATTTCGTATTTTTTATTTAAAATTTTTATTGAAAGTGTCACAATAAAAATTGTTTCCTTAAAATCTCGTATAGGTAAAAATGTCACACAGTCAGTGGTCTATAAAATTCTTTTCAAGTAGCATTCCGAAGTTGTTTAGCTTCTTTCTTGAAAATATTTTGCCAAGCGATTCTATTTTTTTAAAAATAAAATTCTCAATTTTTCGTTGAAGCGATGATACTTCGATTTTTTTTTTACTACACCCAAAAAAAAGTAATCTTATACTTAGAGGAAAAGTCCTCTTCTAATATCCTCTAAATATTTCCTCTTAAAACAAGATTATTCAATTGAAATGTAGAATATTTTTATTCTTCATTTTAATGGAAGAATGACAAAAGGATTCCTTTTGTATTTTCCTCTTTAATTAAGATTTTCCGTTTTAAATTTAGAAGATTTAAAAAAAGGAAACGGAAAAAAATAATGTAATCGTTTGATCCCTTTCCCTGGGTATGATAGTTGTGAAGTTGTTTTTTAACCTTTCAGTTTTAATATTTCTGGTAAAATGTCAACAAAAAGGACAAAAAAATGGATTTGCTTTATTAAAAATACAGAAAATATAGTTAAATTCAAATTAAATGAATATTTTTAACGCTATTTTTAGATTTAAAAAAATTTGGATATTTCTTGTGAAATTTTACTACTCAGGTAAATAGAAATATTATAACCCCATTTTTGAATCTTTCGAATTTTTTAAATCTTTTTATTTACTTTTTTAAAAAAGTTTTAAAACGTTAAATAATTTCATATATGAAATTTTTTTCTGTCCTATAAAAAATGTTAACTTTTAAACATATCATGTTTTAAAATTATTTTTGCGCTGAAAATCTCGTTGATCATTACAACTGATTAATGAAAACTTATTTTTTGTATTTTAATTATCAATATAAAATGTTGATAATTAACCAAAAACATGACATTGTTAATGTTATATTAAAAAACAATTTTTATTATTATATTGAAATGAACTATTATAATTTTACTTAATTTTAATTTAAAAATGTATTTTCTGCAAAGATTTTATTATTTGATTGAAATTATAAATATTTTATTGATGGCTTTGACATTAAAAACAATTTTACGAGGTTTGGATGTCGACATTTAATTTAAGAGGAAAATCCTCTTAAATGAAGAATAATAATTTTGATACCAAAATTAAGAGGAAAATATGCATTTATTTTAGAGGAATCCTCTAGATTGAAAATTACTTTTTTTAGGGTGTAGAATTAATGTAAAAATTATAAAAATAAATTTCTATTATTTTTTGATTAATTAATTATTTTTTTTATTAAAGAAATTGAAAAAATTTTACAGGACTGCCGAAAGGAAATCTTACGATTAGAATGGAAAAATTGCGTTACTCACCTGGTGACACTGTGAGAGGCAATTGTACAGCTCCTGCAGGAAATCCACCAGCTAATGTGACATGGACTGTCAATGGACTTCCGGTAGGGTCACTATATAAAAGTTTTATTAAGTATTATTTATTTTATAAACTATTAAGTCATCTGACTATCCAGGAAGCATGGATTGGCCTTTTAATGACACAAAAAAAAAAACCGGTATTCAGTCGTGTAATTTCGATTGCACGTTATTAACTCAGACGTACAAGGGCCTCTTATATTACATTAATGATCATTTAAAATCACTTTTGCAATAATCCGAGACGTGTCTACTCGTCTATAATCTCTTGAATGCAAAATTTTATTTCACATTAAAAGTTTATTTTAAACCCGTAACATTTTTACGATACTTTGTTTTTTATAAATGAATAAATAAATAAATATATATATATATATACGAAATCTGTATTTTTTACGTATTATATTTAATAATGCGATTATTAAATATGTGTGAATTATACATATATTTTAGTACAATAATTTTCAATTTGCAACATCATTAATATTTTAAATTTTATACATTAACTCGCAGAATCTGAAAATTCAGTTATATGATTTTATAAAATGGATTATATCGAGAATTACATTGTGCAATAATATTCATTTGCATAATCCTTCGAAAAAATAAATGGTAAAAATTTGGAAAATTATATTAAAATTACTAAATTAGTAATTAGTAATTAGTGAAATATAAATAAATTAAAATTAGTACTAGTGATTAAAAATACAAAAAAAAATAATATAACAATGAAGAAATAATAAATTCATTTCTCACGATTCAAAATCTGATTCTGCATAAATATATCTGGTTTTTCATTTCATTAAAAAATTCTCTAAGATCTAAAATGACGATTATATATTCTTTTTTTTTGCATAAAATTTCTATTTGACAGTAGTTGTAATAGCAGCAGGTGTTTACATGAAATTAATCAGATTGAACATTTTCTTAACATATACAAACTAAAAAAAAAAAATTGCGTTCGACGAGTGACAAGACAGGGGGGAATTGTGAAAAAAAATAAAGGGGGGTTTTTCTCGTCCAACCACTTACTTGGATCATTTGTTGGTAATTATACAACATCGATGACAAGGAAGCGAGCACTCTCGTCGATGAGATTTTTGCATAATGGAAATATAAAATCGAGCGAGCCATCTCAAAAAAGGAAAAAGAAAAAAATAATCTTGTCGTTGACGAAGTATAAATTTTCCAACGAGATATATCGTAATTTGCATATAGTTATTCTTATATATATATAGATATAGAAATATATATATTTGAAATCAATCCGAAAAGTGTGCGCGCGTTACGAATATAATGAAGCAATGAGAGAAGACATCGTCAATGGAGAAAGAGGAGAAACCCAAGAGCAATATACACACAGGCAAATCTACTTCGACCCGAGAATGCATTAGCGAAAGCCGTTATTGCTAGCCGCACTATGGCAAATTATTAAGCGCTTGCCAGAAGCACTTTTATCTTTTCTATCGTCGCACTACTCTCTCTCTCTCTCTCTCTCTCTCTCTCTCTCTTTTTCTCGATTTCTCTTCGCGCACCAGAATTTCAGAACTCCAGTATTTTTCAATAATTTTCCTCCTACGTAAACACTCTTAATTAAAAACAAACGATAGGGGAAATTAAATTTTTTTTTTTTTTTTGAAGAAGTGATTAAGATGTTTTCACTTGGATGCTGATATATATACTGAAAAAATATTTCCATAAAAGATATATTGTGTGTGTGTATAGATTGATTTCGATGAAAAGGAAAATTCATTTTCATTTATCGATATATTTTTCTTTGACAGAAAGAGGAATTTAATATAAATATATATATATATATAAATTTGAAGCGGGGTATTCAATTAATAATCAATATTTTATATTTGATTAAAATATTTGCAATATTATATATACATAGGATGCTTGTCGATTGATGTGTCGATTTTCATATTGAATGAATTTGTCGACGAAATTATTTTAGAGTCATTAAATAAATTGAAATTTTATGTTGATTGAACAATATATAATGACATACGCAATTTTTCAGTAGAAATTGACATTGTTTGTTAGACGTGAGAAAAAAGGTTTTTTTTCACTATTTTTCTTATATATTAATAACAATTTTGTTTCTTAAGTAGTAATAGACATTTTCGGTCAGACAGTATAAAAATTATTTTTTTAAACCTTTTTTTGAACCGATAATTTTTTATATATTTTTTTGGAAATTGCAAATTATAATTTTCAGTAGAAAAGGTACATTTTTGTCAGACAAATTAAGTTTATTCAAAAATTTCGCGAGACAGTACAAAAATTATTTTTTAACCCATTTTTGAACTGATAACTTTTTTTTTTTGAAAACAAGAATTATAATTTTCAGTAGAAAAGGTACATTTGTGTAAGACAGATTGTGTATATTGGCAAAATTTCGTGTTACATTACAAAAATTATTTTTTAACTCTTTTTTGCACTGATTTTTTCTTTAACTATTTTTTTTGAAAACAATAATTGTATTTTTCAGTAGAAAAAGTAAATTTCAGTCAGACAGATTAATTTTATTGTCAAAATTCAATTTTTTTTTAATAACTTTTTTTCCAAAGAAGAATTGTAATTTTCAGTAGAAAAGGTACATTTCTGTCAGGCTAATTGCATTTGGCAAAATATCGTTTTTTTAAAAATATTTTTGATTTTTAGTGGAAATCGGTTTTTCTACTTTTTTTCAGTCAAATTGATTTTTTTTTATTAATAAAGAAGTTATTTACATTTTCAGTAGAAATAGACGTTTTTGGTTAGACATTTCCAAAATTACTTTATAACTGAGTTCTTTATTTGAGCCGTCAGTTTTCAGTTTTAAAAACTCTTCTATTTTCTAGTAGAAATATCAATTATGGTCAGACATTACAAAAATTATTTTTTAACCTTTTTTGAAACTATAATTTTGTTACCACTTTTTTTTAACAAATAAGAATCACTATTTTCAGTGGTAAAAATAAATTACTGTCAGACAAATTAAATTGATTGTGAAAATTTGGTGTTCTTTTAAAAATGAATTCCAATTTTAAGTAAAAATTGAAATTCCTTGTCAGACATAGGAAAAACATTTCTCTACTATGTAGAGAACTGACTGATCACATACAACTTTGGAACTTTAGACTTCATTATAGCGAAGTTGGAAGTTTTTTTTTGGATTTTTAGTAGAAATGGATATTTATTGTCAGATATAAAGTAGTTTTTTAAAACTATTTTTTTCTTTAGGCAAATTAACTTTATTTTGTTTAATAAAGAATTCATTTATATTTTCAGTAAAAAATAGACGTTTTTAGTCGGACATTTCAGACCTTTTTCAGTAGTAAAAATTCTTTCAATTTTTTAGTAGAAATAGACATTTTTGGTCAGACAATAATCAAAATTTCAACCATATATCACTGACTAAAAAAATAAGTTTTAAATAAAAAAAAAAAAATTTGTTTAGCACAAATAAAATTTTATTCAGCGCATAATTTTTTTAAACTCCATAATAAAATTTATTTAACTTAAATAAAATTTTTTTGAAACAAATAAAATTTCTTTTTGAAACAAATAAATATTTATATTTATCTCTAAAAAAAAATATATCTTTTCTCTGGGTTTATTTATATAGACAAAAGTATATTTGCAAATTGAAAATGACGATTTTGCATCATTTATATATATACACATACATATATACATAAAATGTGTAAAAGCGTGACCGATACGTGGAGGGATCTCAGGCGTCAGATTATACGCATATACTTAGAAGTTGAACCGAATGTCCCGCAAATTACGTCCTGTAAAGAGCTGCCGCATGACTGTGAGAGGCGGGAAGTACATAAGATCCTATCCTGGCGAGCAAACGACCGAGCAAAACGTTCCTATCTTGAGATTTCCAGTTAATTGGTTCTTTGCACACCTATATAGGCAATCTAGTAAGCTATTAACGTACTAAAACTCGTACTGGTTTTCATGTCGAATTTTTCAACATAAGAGTCGGTTAGCAGTATATATATATATATTCAGTTTCACGCATTTCATTCTTATCCATAAATTTTTTTTTCCGCGGGAAAAAAAATTTTTCACACCTCACGTGTCGCGTAAGCAACAAAATCAGGTATATAATAATTTTTTGTACCTTTCTTCATATGTCTTTTTGATATATATATAATATGCGGTACTTTGTAACAGCAATTAAACGTATCTGATTGATAAATATTATGCGGGTGTCTCATAACGTTTGCTTTTATGCCGATAGTCTCAAAAGAAACTGATTTTTAAAATTTTTACATTTATACACATACTTTAACAGAACCTATTTAATTTATTTAAAAATTTAAATATTATTTAATATATATATATATATATATATATATATATATTATTTAATAAATAAATAATTAATAATAATAAATTATTTTATATATTAAGATTTTTTTTTCCCTACATTTTATGCATTGTAATTATCAAGGTGAAAAATATCCGCACGGAAACCATTCGCTAGAACAGAGAAGAAAAATGATAAACGCTAATGGGCTAAAAAGAAGAAAATTTAAAAACTTTTTCTACATGTGAGCGATTGTCATTTCTTTTTTGTTCTATATTACTGAATGCTTTTTCACCGAAATATTTTCCTGGCAAAAAAATATTCAAATATTAAAATTCTTTTCAAATAATTTTTAAACAAATAAATAATAATAATAATAAATGAAATAAAAATTAGTATTATTAATAATTTAATATTTAGTTAGTCAAAATAAATTGTATAATGAAGTACAACTATTTTCATGGGAGTAATAATAATTTTTTCACACTATATATATATATATATATATAAATATGTTAAAAATGTTTGGAAAAAAAAACAATGTAGATACTTGATCAACAAGAAATTGTTTTTTTCATGACATGGAAAATATGACAAAGTGAACGATGGAATTACTAATCGGTTTGGCGTATAATTCGTTAAAATTTTATAAAAGATCCCACATAACAAAGATTGCTATGAAATCAGCGTAAACTGATAATTAATAAATATATAATAAAAGAAGAATTCTCACGAAAGGAGTATATTATCATGGCCTTTTAGATCTTTCGTACTTTGCACTAAGAATTTCAATACCCTACCTTATATGTATAGTTCCCACCATCGAGAATATAATTAATAATAATAATAAAAAAATACCTCCTATTTAAGATAATACACTGACGTTCAAGTAGAAACGGCAATTTTTGTCAGACATATTACATATATATGTATATATATTTAACGAATTTCTCAAGAGGATTTGAATTAATTGTTGAAAATATCATTTTTCGATCTTAAAATATGGAAGAAAAATTTTATGAGTTATTATTCTTATGGTATAGTAATTGTACACTAACAGTTATGTCAATAGAATAATAATAAACGCAGATTTTTAAAAAAAATTTTACATTTTTTAAATGAGGAGGAAAAAAGTCAATTTTTTTGGAATACAAAATTTCAACTGCAGTGGTAAGACTTTAGTAGAAATGGAATTTTTTTGTCAGACATCAGAAAATTATTTTTTTAATTAGACACAATTCTTTAAAAAAAATTTTAACAAAAAAAAATGTTAAATTAAAGGAATTTTAATTTTTAGTAGAAATAGACTTTTATTGTCAGACACGGAAGCATAATAATTTTTGGATTTTCGTCTATTTATTAAAGGCAATTTTTTTGCTTAATGTGGTATTTCATTTTTTAGTAGAAAAAAAAATTTTTTTGTCAGATATTTGAAAATTATTTGTCAACAGTTTCGCTCAATGACACAGGAAACTTTTTTTTACTAATAAAACTAACTATAAATTTAAGTAGAAGTAGTTATTTTTGGTCAGACACCAAAAATATTTTATTTTTATTTTAAAATTGTTTAATATATTTCTTTTTAACTTTTTTTTATTAGTAAAAATTGTTCTAATATTTTTTTTTTAGTAGAAACATACAGTTTTGGTCAGACATCAAAATTACATTAATGATTAGATGGGGCACAAATATTTATCGTCAATTCGGTAATAATTTTTTTTTCAATTTTCAGTAGAAATAAACAATTTTAGTCAGACATCTCAAATAATAAATACATAGAGAATTAAAAAACAAAAATTTTTTCATAAAAAATTAGATCGAATACAAATAATTATTGTCATTCGGTAATAAAAAAAAATTCTTTCAATTTTTCAGTAGAAATAAACCGTTTATGTCAGACATATGCAAATAATAAATATAAAATAAAAAAAAAAATTCTATAAAATGTTATTTTGAATATAATTAAATAAAATAAATGAACTATAATTTAAATGATTAATAAATTTTGATTGCAGGTTAAAGCAAGTTATGTTGCGAACAAATTTGTTTCGAGGAACATCACCGCCGACAGTAGACAACAAACTATGGCGACATTGGATTATGAAATTATTTCAGATAGCTTTAATAGTGGCAGATTGCACATTGCATGCCATGCTGCCGTCTTCCATCTTTATAAAGAAAAGGCTGAAATCGTTCTAGAAGAGGAACGACCGAGACTTGCTTCCGTATTAGGTACACGGGAATCTTCTTATACTGGTAATAAGGATTACGCACTTACATATTCAAATCGTAACTTTAAATATGCAATTAATTTCAATATTTGAATTTAAAATTAAATTTTCAAATGAAAATAATGCAAGGGAATATAAAATCTCAGATATATTAGAAAATGAGAGTTACACTTGGGAATTTTGTTAATATACTTTTACGCTCGTGCATCTAAATAAGTTTCATTTACATCATTGAGCATTGCAATTTATTTTGATTAGAAATATTTGCAATAAAATGAAAACGTAAATCAATTTCGTTTCTTTCGAATATGTAGGTACTATATAATAATAAAATTTATAAATCCATCAAATAAATTTAATTTATAATTTGAAAATTCATTTTGAGTATCATTTAAATCGATGTTTATAATTTTTATAAAAAAATGTTTTATTTAGTCGAATTAGTTATTTTATTGTTTTTCTTTTGTTCAATTTTTAATTTTATTCTGTTTTAAACTGATATTAAAAATGTTTTTATCGATTGAAATTGAATGTGAATTTCAGTAGTAAAAGCAGTTTTTGGTAAAGCAGTATCAGTATTATTGTCAACCGAAATATATAAAGTCACAGTAGGTAAAGTAGTTTTCGGTGAAACAAATCTTTTTCAGTAGAAATGTATAATCTATGGTCAGACATGTAGGTAATTGATTGATTGAAATAAGAAAAGATTAATTTTATAAATCAAACACAAAATATATATTGAAATTTTTTTTTTATTTATTATTATTATTAATATTTTATTGATTATTTAATTCCATTTCCAGTCCCACTTCCACTTTTTCTAAGTTTCATTCCTACTTCTTTTCCATTTCCATTTTTTTTAATTTCCATTCTCATTTCCACTTTTCTATTTTTTATTCCCATTTACACTTTTTCTAATTTTTATTCCCATTTCTATTTCCATTTCAACTTCCACTTTTTTAAAATTTTCATTCCCACTTCCAGTTTTTCTAATTTTCATTCTCATTTCTATTTCCACTTCCGCTTTTTCTAATTTTCACTCACACTTCCATTGGAAAACATAGAAAATGTGGAAATGGAAATGAGAATGAAAATTAGAAAAAGTGGAAGTGGAAATGGAAATAAAAAATAGAAAAGTGGAAATGGAAATGAGAATGAAAAATTAGAAAAAGTGGAAGTGGAAATAGGAATAAAAATTAGAAAAAGTGGAAGTGGAAATAGGAATGAAAATTAGAAAAAGTGGAAGTGGAAATGGAAATAAAAAAGTGGAAATGGAAATGAGAATGAAAAATTAGAAAAAATAGAAGTGGAAATGGGAATAAAAATTAGAAAAAGTGAAAGTGGAAATGAAATTACATAATCGACCCCCAGACATTTTTTCCTATATCATGGTTATTAAACAATTGTGAAAAAAATTTAACGAACGGTATATTGACAATAACATTAATTCGCTGATATAAAATGATACTTAAAATGCCAAACTTATCTTCAAGTTGAAGATCAAGAATTTCAAGTGCACTATGTGTATATATAACCACATCCGCAAGTTATTTCTTTAATTAGTAAATTTAAAATGATGTTTTAATTTTTTCCACACTTTTAATGTTACTCAATTAGACCTAGGGTTATTAACCTTGAGAATTTAACTATGACTAAAGTGCCTTTTTTTCTCTCTTTCTCTGTTAAAGGAAGTACAGCCGGCCGCAGAGAAGAATGGACCTTAATAATGTTGGTCGCCAGTTTTCTGCTCAGTGGTCTAAGATAACATCGATAATCTTTGACTTGTTTTTGCGCGTTTTGACTGATGTGACGACGTGGTTGAAAGAGTAAATTGTTTGTATAAAATTAAAAGTTATGAAAGTGAGTGAAAGTGGAAAAATAAAAGAATGAAAGAGAAAGTACGAGAAAATTATTATTGATGGGGGGGAAAAAAAACCTTTTTTTTTTTTTTTTGTTTTTTTGTTAAAAAAAGAAAAAAAGAAATTCGAAAACGTATCTAAAGTACGTGAATAAAATTTATGTAAATAGAAATATTAATTTAGTAAATCGTCTACCTGTAAAACACAATATGTCCAACAAAACGAATCGGTGGGACAAAATTGTATAATCCAAAAAATAATATGTCATTATGTATTAGATTAGTGATGTTATACATGCATACTGACGAATCAGTTTGAAAAACAAAAAAATATGCCTACGGTCTTTTCTATTCTTCTGATGACTGTTACTTTGATACCTCAGAGACGACGACACAGGCCATATATTGCAAAACGTCCTTATTAATACCAGTTTTCGAGAAAAAGAATGAAAAAAAAAAAATTATTGTTATTGTTTTTAATGGTATATCAGTTTAATGAGACTAATAAATTATTGACCTTCGTTAATTTCTATCCTTGTCTTCTATTCATTAACCATAATTCCGAATTGTGTCTTTTTTTAATGTATAAAATATTCTTCTTTTGAAGAAATAATTTTTTTTTCAAATCCAATGTTTTTGGCTCAGAAAAACAATAAAGACTGTCTATGAAAAAATTGTTGCAACTTAAAATAAGACTATTTTCTTCCCTAAAAAAATAAAAGTTTCCTCTTTAATTAGTTTCCTCTTCTTTTATTGAAAGAAAATTGTTAAAACTGTTTTTAAATATCACAAAAAAAAAATAAAAAAAACATTTACAATTAAATAAAAATAGAATTATAAATTTTATAAATCAGTGTGAAATATAAAAAATTTAATTTTTATTTAATTTATATTTTGTGGAATTAATAATAAAACATGAATATATATATATATGAATGCATCTTCACTTTTGTTGTCCTTTTGTTTTTAGAAGACAATGCATTGTGCATTATGCTAGTGAAAACAAAAGACAAATTACACGAAATTACATTGCGCATTGTCCTAGTAAAAGGGAAGAGAGAAATGTGGGAAGAAATTAATGCATGGTACTGCATTAGTATATAGACGCAAATGATGTAAGATTGTAAGTTACATTAACTAATTCTTCCTTTGCTTTTATATCATAACTTACACGTTTTATTGTTTTAATTTATGTTACGAATTAAACGTGCGGTATTTTACCTTTTGTTTTATATAATATGTACATTAGATGCTTTCATTATATATATTATATTGAAAGATCTCTTCTTTTGAGTACAAACACTTTTTCATTTCAGAAAAAAAAAAAATATTCATTACTGTGATATAATTAATTTACAACCATTAATTATAAAAGAGTGTTTCATTTTTTAAAAACAAATTGAAAAAATTTGAATAATTTGAATTTTTTATATTAAATTTTAGATTATTATTATTTAATGATATTTATTCTGTAATTTATATATTTTCCACAACAATACAAAGGTATATAAAGGATAGTTGTATAAAAAGTTTAATCTTTGAACTTAATGAAACTGTTTTTGAAAAAAAAAAAAAAAAAAAAACAATGATTGATAGTGGTACCTTTTGGTTCAATTCGAAGACAAAATTCCAGTCACGATGTTCTCACTATCTTCCTCCAAATTGTATCATTAGAAAAAATAGAAGGAGGAACGTGACCAGAGTGTAATCACGAAATTACTTTAATGAAAAACGTCATGATGACAACTTTCGATACGTGACACACACGGGAAAGAATTAAGGCGAAATAATGAAGAAAGTAATTTACAATAGATTAACAAACGAGTTTTAATTCAATATAGTTAATTAAATATTTAAAATTGTTAAAGGTATTAATTTCGTTTAGATTAGGATCCTCGAATTACTGAAAAAGGAAAGAAGTAGAAAGAATTAAAAACTACGGTTGCATACGAAGAGTCAATTAATTCTAAAGTAGTTTAAAGAAACATTAATTGTTTTTACAAAAAAATCGTGTGTTATATTTAAATTTATTTATTTTCAATTCAACTTATAACAAAAATTCGTTTAAACGCAAACTTTTATTCTACAAACATATTTTTTTTTTTCTGAAAATTGCAATGCGATCAATTGTAATTATTATTTTCTATAAAATGAGTTTCGTGGATTTCGATAGTGAAAATAATGGTTTATTTGATTTGCAAGCAAGATGGAAATGATACGAAAATGATATCACAGAACAATAAATATTAATGTCAGAATTGTTATTTAATTATGAAAAACATGATTTAATAAAATGCTTTCCATATAATTAAGAGTTCTTGTGCTTTTATGATTTTCTTTTTTTTTGCATAACTTTAAAGAAGTTAAACAGGAATTTCTCATTTTCCATCAAAGATCTCAAAAGGCACAAACCAAAAGTTATTTTTCAATATTAACAGAAGCTATGATGCGTTGATGGTATTACAATTTATTGACTTGTATATATTATTTTCTCATGTTCGTTCCGCAACTTCTTTGGAGTTCATAGCCTGTAATTTCATCTCCATTACTTCAACAGTTGCTTCTCTGATTTTACTCTTCTCAATTCCCATTTGTTGAATACTTTGCATTTGTTGTGAAACATAGGTAACTCTATTTTGAAAATAGGTTTTGGCCTCTTCGATATTCTTCTCCACGAAATATCCAGTACCAATGTCGACTAAAACAGTTTGTGTCTCTCCCATTTGACCAGCGACGTACATTGATCCAGTGAGAGGTACCAAAATTTCCTTACCTATAAATAATTGTTTTTTATTTTTAATTAAACAGTTCTTTTTTAATATTAAAATTTAGATTTAACGTTATACAGCTGTTTTAAATCACTACAAATATTCTAAGAGGAGATTGAAACGAAATTTTTATATTGATTGACTTTTAATTTTTAAATGAATTAAAGTTTGGCTATTAAAGGGTTTTCTAATGAATTTAATGTAGTTATTCGTTTTTTTTTTTAGTAACCAAATGATCAAAGAAACGGTAACAAATTTAATGATTCTAGGATTCGTTGATTCTTTAGTCAAAATTTAGTTTTTAATTTTAGTACATTAAAACCAGTTCAGAAAATATGTATTTTAATTTTCAAGCAACATTCCTATTGGGATCCTGAATTTTTTTTATACTCTTTAAACACTGTAAAACGAAAGGTATTAATTTTAATAACTTAAATTATTAAGGGGACCTTTTGGTTTAGAATTGACAAAAAAGACAAAAAGACTTTTGATGTAAGAAAAGTATTAAATAAATTGCAAAAATTCTTTTTGGACATTGTTGCACATAACATAGAGAAAATTAAAAAAAAAAATTTGAGTGTATTTAGTTCAATTTCTTAGCTGTAGGTGGCGTCTTCTAAAAGATGCCTTTTTTGGTGCACGTGATTGCGGACAAACTGTAATATATAATTTCAAATGCGAATCTCTTCATAAGAGTTTATTCTAGATAATAAACCTGAAAAAACGATTTTTTTTATTTTTTATGAACATTTTTCTCAAAAATTCAAAAAAAAAAAAAAACGCCGTGTTTTTGGGGCAATTTACTCCCGTATAAAAAACAGAGGGTAGAAATATGAAATTTCAAAGGTTTATTCTCTAGTTTTTTTAAACTAAGAAATCGAATGGTTTTTTTAAAATCGGTTCAGTAGATTTCGAGAAAAGCCGTGAATCAGTTTGAAAAATGTGTTTTCAAGAAAAATACGTTTAAAGTTTTCATAACATAATACATTGAGCCAGGACTATCAAACAATTTTTGATTACAACTTTTGTTTTTTTACATATTTTTTAAAAAACGTTTTGAAACAGTAATTTTATGATACTAAGGAACATTTTCAAGCAAAAAAAAAAAATCGATTTTTTTGGAATTCTAAACCAGAAAGTCCCCTTAATTAATTTTAATAACTTTAGGTACTAAATTGTCATTTGGTTCTATTTTGATACTATCTACTATCTATTTTAGTACTTTCTTTTTACAGTGTAACCTTCCGGAACAATATTGACTCAATATTAATAATACTTTTCGTATTCGCTTAAATTTTGTGTTCAGTATTCGGAAATTTTGTATTTAGATAGTTTGTGAGTTTTCGATTAATTTGTCAGTTTTAGATTAATATTTCTAATTTTATATAGTTTCAAGTACAGTAATAAATGTTCAGTAAAGTTTTGGTGCTGTGTCATAATTTATAAAATAAATAATCTGTGTTTAGTTAATAATACCTGAAAAATAAAATTAGAATTTGTTAAATAATGAACATAACCTCGCAAATGAGGAAATAGAAGTGAAGTATAATTCTATATTATTAAAAAAATAAAAATTCGTACCTTTAGTATCTGGAGTAATTTTATCTAGACATGATCCAGATTCTAAAAATTTACTTTGTGCAATTTTTAGAGTTTGTAACGAATCTTGAAATACAGGAATCTCTTGGTCCAATTGATGTTTTAATAGAGTTAGTTGAGGTAGAGTTAATTTTGTAAGATCAAATTGTTGCAGATTTGGTTGTTCTGTCAATGATATTTGAGACATTTTTAAACAACTATTAATTAACAAAAACGAATAGCGATAATAATAATTATTTTCAGTGAAAAATTAAGAATGATCAAATGTTACCAAACACGGTCAACACTTTTGTATAGCAGACTGCTTCAAGTGACGTCACTTAAAATGGCGGACTACAGTTACGCTAACTGTCTGCAAGAAGATGAACTTCAAACTCTACTGGTATACTCATTGTAGTTGCGTTCATTCTAAATGGATGTCGCCACAATGCAGAAAATTCGATACTAAAAATCTTTATTTATAAACATATTTTTATGTAAAACAAATAAAAAAACACTATTTATTTTATTGTTATTTATTAAAATAAATATTTTAAAACATATTTTTGTTAACACTATTTTTATGAACGTGTTTTTCTTATATTTATTTAAAAAAATATTTGCTATTATTTTTACTATAATAGTTTTTTAAAATTACTGAAGTTACTTACTGAAGCTAACACAGTTAAAGTAATAACAAAAAATTCAAATCCTGTCAAATAAAAAAGTTTCAAAATTTACCAATAGCAATATCACACAAACTTTTTGGAAGAAAGGAGAAAATATATAAAAAAAAAAAATTCTTGACAGAAAATGACAGAAAAATTACAGGAAAAGAGCAATAAATCAGAGTTTTCTAGTGAAAGAAAAAGAATCGATACCGAAGAAGCGAAGAAGTCTGAGAGGTTAAATGCAATCAGCAAAAAGAAAGAGGAAAGGCTGCTTGAGGTGAAACGTGACTTGGAGGAGAAACTTCGAAGAAGACTGATTGTAAAGAATTCAGATTTGAAAAAGAAGGCGAAAGAACAAGAAAGGAAATTCAGAAATCAAAAGAAATCTTTCAGCGAAAAGCAAATGACACAAGTACAATAATTTCATTTATGTTTAAAATTCATAACTTTATCTTTCATTACATTTTAAATTTTTCCCAACTTTTTTCACTTTCCACTATGAAAATTGGAAATTTATACAGAAATTTCAAAATTAAATTAATTTTTGTTTGTAAATCTTTTCGATTCTTTCTTTTTTTGTAGATGTAAAAATTATATAGGAATAAAAAATAATGTTCTATAAATAAATAATAATTGAAACCATATTAGATTCGCAATGAAATGAAAGAAATAATGAAATCAGGAATAGAAAGTGTGAGAGGGGAGAAAATAATAGCGGAAAAAGTGAAATTCGACGGCAATGATAAATTGACAATTGGAAAAGTGAAATATAAATTAAAAAATAACGTACATATGATAGGTTGGGGAATGGAGACAGCAATAATTGGAGTTGCCTTTGAGAAATTGATAGGAGAACAAATGAAAAAAGGATTTTTGATTGTGTCAAAAAAAGAAATTTCTTCAATAAATTATTATAAATCATTGCAATTTGATACAATGATAACATATTTTGAAGTGGATGATCATCGAGAAATAATAGAGGCCAATAAAATGATATTTGAGTATTGTAAAAAATTGAAGAAAACAGATATTCTTGTAGTTATTCTTTCAGCGGGAACGAATGATCTTCTCTGTTTGCCAAGGGGCAATATTGGCGTTAAAGAGAAGATTCATTTCTTGAGAGAAATGAAAAACGCGAATGCCACCAAGGAAGAAATTAATATCATAAGAAAGAAACTCTCACTGATAAGAGGTTATTATTTATCATCAAGAATAATATTCTTTTTTTTTTTTTATGAATAACATCAATTTTTTCATTAATTTGTGATATTAATAATTAAATATAAAAAGGAAGCGGACTGGCGAGAATAGCATTCCCAGCGAAGGTAATTACCATAATTATGTCGGACGTTCCTGGAGACAATATCAACGAAATAGCTGGAGCTCCAACTGTAAATGAATCATGGACCAATGAAGTAAATGCAATTTTGCATAAGTATCACTCACTGACGATAAATTTATCTCTATCCATGAGACAAGTACTAAATGAAATTTCACCATCAATGCCAAAGAAAATGTTGAGTAAAAGTGGAAATTTTAAATTTGTCGATTATCACATTATAGCGAGTAATGTAGATGCTATGGATTCTATGGCAAAGGCTGCATTTAAATTGGGATACATTCCGATTAAAGTGAATTCTAAATGTGTTGGTACATCACAAAAGATGAGTCGTGAGTATGTGAAATTTGTATCCTTAATGATTTTGTTTGTTGAGGGGAAAATTTCAAAATTGGAATTCCATAAATCGATGATGCAAATAAATAGAAGAATATTGCCATTAGATGATAAAGTAAGGGAAATATTTCCATCAAAGGAAAAATGGGGATTTGGTTTATATCTTATATTGGGAGGAAGAGGATCAGTGAATGTTGCTGATGCACAATGGCAGGGACAAGGTGGTCCAAATCAGGAGCTTGCTTTATATTTTTCAATCTATTGGTATCTGAAATGTCGTCAGTATCCTATTTTAAATGATTATAATGTTTGGTTTTTGGGTTGTGCCTCATCGGGTAAAGATGGTAATTCTCATGTTGCTGGGGCTTTTGGTTATAAGACACTTGTCAGTGGAGTTTGTGAAAAATTTCACGAATTTTGCAATCTTCATCTCGAGGCAAAATTAATGATGATGGATTTGGATCCCAATAATAAGGAAAACGAGGTTTTTAAATTTTTTCCGATTTTTTTTTTACCTGATTAGGGTTTCATGGCCCAGGCATTCTTAGCAACGGTTGGTAAAGGATTTATTTTTCTTATCAGCGGTTGCTAAGGATTGTTTTTCCATAGCAGCGGTTGCTTTAAAAAAATTGTTTTTCCTCATTGTAGGAATTTATACAACTAATGGAGAATTTAAGTAATGAAATAAGAAAAGTAGAGAAAATTTTACCACATGAAATCCTGAGCAAAAATAATACAAATTTTTTCTTTAATAACATCAATGACGGTGAAGAAATTTTGAAAATTGATAACGAAACGGATTCCATTTTCACGAATGTTAGAGATTTACACTTGATTCGAATAGTTCGTTATCAATGCAATTGTGATGGATCTTGTTTTTACAATAGAACACAAATTCCTCAAAATTCTACCATCTCAAATCAAAATTTGAATAAAAAATATCCATGTTGTGGAAAAATTGGATCACCTAAAGAATCAAATTTCTAAATATTTAAGAATAGAAATTAATTTTTTCAAAAAAGGAAAATTTTTTTTAATAATTAAAAATTTCCTTAATTTTATTATTATAAATGAAAATATTAATGTTGCAAAATTTATCTTGATGAATCAATATGTTGATTATGCCAAATTATTTAATAAATATGTATTGCGCGAGAATTATTCCTATATATATACGAATTGAATAAGCTTTATACTACTACATTCGGTTTATATACACTGTGAGCGAATTAAATTAGAGCAACATTTTCGCAGGAAATTTCAACGTGGAAGGATTATCTCACTCGCAGGATCCATGCCATGAGTTTAGCGCGCGGCTAGGTAACGCGCGTTGATTACAATTCCAAATTGCCAAAAATTACGATTCCACATTACCAAGTCAATTCTCATTGTTAAAACGAACTTTCCCCACTGGAAATTCTATTCATTTAAACTGTGAATTATCCGAATTAATTACTTATTCCCAAAGTAAAACTTTGCGTCCCTGTTACCTTGTCGGGAAATGAAATGCTGAGTGGGTCAATTTACTTTTCAAATGATGGAAAACTATTTTTTAAAAGTACAAAAAAACTTTTGAATATTGTCTTGAAACTTGCATTGCATTTACAAAAAAATTTTTTTTTTTTGAAAATTGCATAAAAAATTGAAAATTATTTAAAAAAGAATTATTTTTGATGAGTAAAAATGAGTATTTTTGAAGTTTTTTCTAAAATTTTGGATAACTGAATTTGGTAAGAAAAAAAAGTGGAATAAGAATTCAAAAGTAGAGTATATCTGAATTTTAGACTTTTAATAATACGACGACGGAACACGAAACAGTATATTGTCGACGGAAAGAATTCGTCCATAAAGTCCGCATTGTTTTACTTAAGTTTACTCATACATGTATATAAGGCCTTACACACCTAGCTGGTAAAAATCTCTAAAGAGGAACAGAAAAGCTTTCTGCAGTTAAATTTACAATGCAAATCGTACAGCCGCTAAAAAAGCAAGGAAGCCAAGCTCGAATGGGAGACATGTGCTGCTACAATATTCCCTTCTTCTTCTTTTTTTTTTTTTTCTTTTTCTTTCGTCGTTGCACCTCTAGATCTTCCAATAAAATGCAGTTACTACAAGAGGCGTGAAATTTACATTTAAATTTACGCTTTATTATTTCTGCGGTGAAACCACAATTTTCCACATATACCAATATATATATATATATATATATATATATATATATATATATATGCATTATTACATTTGTAATAATCAAAATTTTAGTCAGCTGATGAAAGTCATGACTATTACTAATTAACTAACTAATTAACTAATTAATGATTTAATAAATCCATATATTTGTTTGAGAGGCGCGCATAATTATATTCCTCAAATTCAAACAACCGAATAATAATTAATATAGTTTGTATAAACTCTCATTTTATTGGATAATTAAAAAAAAAAAACATAATTTTATCCGTATCAATTATATATTTTCTCTAGTTTTTAAATTCTTATTCTTTTTTTCTTTTTCTTCTTATTTTTAATTCTATTGAAAAAAAATGTAATTCTAACAAAAGATTGTATTATTTCTAATTATAATTTATGAATGTGTGTTATTATTTTTTATCTAAAAAGATTTCATGGTACTTATTTGGAATGAAGATATGGTATATATAATCACGTTAAATAGTCTGGTGCGTGTGAGTTTCTATATTATATATATATATATATATATATGTTGAGGTTCAACATATAGCTGAGTAACGAGCGTTGCATATTTAGTCACAGATTTTCTGCAGAGAAATGCAAATGTATTTTATAATCTTTATAACTAAATCTCAATTTCATATCTGGTTTGACCTAATATTCTTATTTCATCTTTTGTTTACATTTTTTCCCACCAGTATAGATATATTTAAATTTTTCTTTACATTATCTTCTTTTTATTATATTGAATATTATTGTAAAAAAAAAATTACATTTCTAAAAATTCATTCTAATCATCGCAAATTGGTCCACCACAGCAAGCTGGATATTCAAGATGTTGAATTTTTGTAGTATTTTTTCGACCAATTTGCTTTCCAGGTGGACAATTTTCTTCCGCACATCTGTAAAATATTATTCTTATTATTCTTATTACGGAATTATTATTAATTAAAATTTATTAATTTATATCTATTAACTAATTAATATTAATTAATAATTCTACAAATCAAATAGTATTGCTGTTTCCAAAAAAAAATTTTATTTTTAATATTTAGTATTATTATTGTTTAATTATTTAATTGTTTATTTATTAGTGTAAAAAAATCTACTTACGCTAACATAGCATATTCCTCAAGGTCCATACACTTGACATAAACACACTGATTTATTAATCCGAAATAAACATTTTTGTCAGCAAAAACAGGATGAGCTACTGTACAACCATCTGCAATTAAAAATGTAATTAAAATCCGTAATGCAGTAAAATTAATTTTCCTCTATAGGTGCATTAAAAATTATTTCTTTTTAATTTTCACTCATATTTTTGTTACCTAATTTTACAAGTAATAAAATAAAATCAGTAAAAGAAGAAATTGAAAAATGTATTACTTTTTTAAATCCATATACAAAAAATTAAAAGGCATTAAAATAAGCTGCAACGCTTATTATTTTAATCCAATTTTGCTTATTTTAATACCAAAATGGATTAAAATAAGAAAAATTGGATTAAAATAATAAGCATTGCAGCTTATTTTAATGCCTTTTAATTTTCTGTGTATTTAATTTTCTTACTTTAATTTTTAAAGAAAAATAATTTTAGTTTCCAGAAAAAAATTCTCACATCATACACTGAGAGACCTTTTGCACCGTAACAGACTTTCGACAGACGGCTGCGGAGCATTCTAGCGGTCAGCTATGAAACTACGTTTTTGGTCTGCAGCCGTACAATTTTTGGAGCGTAGCTGTCCAAAAAATTGACGGCCGAAAGGTTCATTTTCATTTTTGGGCAGTCACGATACAAAATTTAGAATGCAGCGCACCAAAACCTATAGTGGCGCTGCAGTCACACACGTAGTTCTGATGCGGTGCAAAAGGTCTCTCAGTGTATACATACCAAATTGTGGAAATTGGGTAGATAATTCTACACAAATAAAAGTAATAGAAAATATTAACAAGAGCTTCATGTTCATCAATTGCTGGCACAAAACTAGGAATCAAAAGTCCAAGATCTATAAATATAAAGCCCCTCCAAATGTTTAAACATTTTTTTTTTAACCAATCGACAAGTGATAACTTTCAGAGGTTAAATATTTTTTAAAACCTCTCTCTCTCTCTCTCTCTTTCTCTCTCTCTCTCTCTCAAAAAGAGAGAAATTCCATCGATATCAAACCTGTTTTATACTCGATACATCAGGATAATTTCTTATAATTAAAACTGTATGACGTCTGACAAGATCTCACAGAAAAATAAAATGAAAGACAATAATTACTGTCATTTAATGAATAATTAAGTGAATGTCAGTAGGAGACAAATGAAATTTATTGCAGAGTAAGAGATATTTATAGTAATTAACATATTCATGACATTGGCCTTGAGAAAAAGCCTCGCAGGAATATAACTTGTATATACATATAGATATATACATATCATCTCTTTTTTTTTCATTCTATTTTGAAATAATACATATATATTTTGCCCACTTATAAAATATGATTACAATTTTGAAAATGTAAAAAAAAAAATTTATTTCTAGACAAAAAATAAAGATCATAATTTATTATTTAAAAAACAGTAACATGACTATTATTACGGTAGAATAATTTACATACAAATGGTGGAGATTGAAAATTTACGATTAAAATGTATATATTATAAAATTTGTTTATAATATTAATTTGCACATACTGGCCCACCACAGCAAAGAGGATAAACTTTCGTGTGATCAATTTTATTTACACCTATTTGTTTTCCCGGTGGGCATCGATATTCTGGACATCTAAAAATTATTTATTAATTCTCATTTTTGCAATTATTATTATTATTATTATTTTTGATAAATTAAATCCTTACCCTAAAGAAGCGAAATTTTGAGAAGATATGCATGTCACTTTTACGCAAGTATTATCAGGATCATTGAGAGGTTTCACATTTTTACCACAGTGTACTATAAAATTAAATTTATTTTTATTAATCTCTCTTAGAATTATTATTCATTAATATATTACTATTATTTATTATTAATTTTTTTCTTGTTTTCTTTTTGTGAAAAATGTTTGAAAAAAATTATATTAATTTGTAACATTTGTCGACTGTGATAAAAAAAAAAAAAAAAAAAAAAATGCGGATTTGTTTCATAAAAAAATGTTTACATACCCAATTTGGCAATTTGTTCGGAGAGATTGATATAGAACATTAGAAGTACAAATAATGTTAAAAGTTTCTTCATTATGCTAACGCTGGTACTGATGAGCGTAAACAGAAAGAATATAAGCCACGAGGAAATTATTTGACAAAAAGAAAAAAAAAAAAACTCACTTTCTTTTATGATTGAAAATTTTTCAACTAATGAATCAATACTAAGAACAGCTGCTTTTTGTGCGATTGTAAATTATTAAAAGTTTCAAGTTTAAATGAAATACAATTTTATAGTTCAAAGGTGCATCAATATCATGTGATTTCTTATCTGTTAATATATATGTTGCACAATTAATGAAGTTCTTTTAATATTTATTTTAAACTACATTTTACTTTTTAAAATAATATTTTTTTATAATTTATTAAAAAAAATTGTTAAAAATTTATAGTAATTGTTATAATTTTATAATATTTTTTTTGTTCATTAGATAATAATTTTTGTTATTAGATTTTATTATAGATTATATTATGGTATTTTATTTATTAATATTTATAAATATTTTTACATAATAATAAATATCTTGTAATACATGTAATGTATTTATGTAAATATGAGTTGAGAGCTTTGATTTCACATTGTTATTTATTCTCGACATACTGGACCACCACAACAATAGGGATAAATTTTACTGTGATCGATATTTTTATAACTAATTTGTTTTCCTGATTGACATGTTTTGCTACCACATCTGAAAATATTGGAGAATTATATAAATAAATAAATATTGATAATAGACAATATATAATAAATAATTATAATATAATTATATAGTATAATAAATAATTATAATATAATTATATAGTATAATAAATAATTATTATACAAATAAATATTTATTATATAATAATTAATTATTATGTGATAAACAATTAAATAAATATAATAAAAATTTGTTAAATTAACATTAAAAATATTTAAAATACTTTACCCTAGGACAGAATAATTTTTTCCATAAGTACAAACAACTCTTACACAAGTTGTTTCCGGTTCCTCGAGAGGTTGCTCTCCACGATTACAGTTGACTGAAGTATCAAATAAATACAAAGATATTTTAAATTTTTATTTCATTTTTAATGTATAATAAAAAATTATTTTATTTTACCAACTGTTTGATATTTTACTATTTTTTATTTTATTTGAACATTAATATTATCAATTATGTTTATGATTTTCGAGTAAATTATTATTTTTATTTACTTTCCTTTTTTTTTTTGAATGTGAAAAAATATACTCACGAAATTCGGCATACTGTTCAGATAAATGACAATAAAAAAAAAGAATTGATAGTAAAATAAAGAGCTTCATATTGACACTCGAGGAAGTGATAGACTAAGAAATATATAGTCAATAATTTAATTTTATAAATTAAGCTCCACATGTATTTACAATATTTATGAATAAAGTTTACAAGTTCATGATTAGGAAACAAATTTTTTATTCTAATTATATGTTTAATGATCCTCTGGTTCAAGGATTGCTGTACCAATTGATTGTCAGAGATTTTAAATACTCGTTTTATTATAGTTATTATTAAACATGATAAACAATGGATTTTTTTTTTAAATCCAAAATTGTTATGGAAATAAAAATAAAAGACAAAAACTATTTTTATTAATTATATTTATTAATATTTAGAAAATTAATAAATTATTGAAAATGTACTGTTAATTTTATTTTCACATATTGGTTCACCGCAACAGTTTGGAAATTTCAAGGAATTGTTAACTTCCTTATAAGACACTTGTGTACCTTCTAAACATTTTGATTCTGGACAACTGAAAAAAAATTTGTTTATTAAAATTTCTTATTTGTTTTAATAATTTTTGCATTTTTTTTAGTAACAAGTTTTAGGTAAACAAAAGTTAAATTTACATTTTATAGTTGAAAAAAATTTTATAGAAGTAAAATATTTAATAAACATTGTTTAAATACTTACTCAAGTTTTAAACGCAAACTTCCAAATTTATTGACAGAACATCGAATTTCATAACAATTTTCATTGATTTTCGAATCGATATCCTGAATATCTGGACAATTAACTATAATCAAATGTTACCTTTAGTTAAAGAAAAAAAAAATTGAAATTTAAAAAAATAATTTTTTTTTTAAATATTGAATAATACATTGACTCACCATAATTCACTTTTTGAAAAGTATAACTGACACAGATTATAAATACAGATAAGACTAATAATAACTTCATTTTTGAACGACAGTTGAATATAAACTAAGCAAAATCTTTCAGTATCTTTTAGACTTTGTTCTCTTTTTCTCAGTTTCATTAATTCAATCACAGATTTATTTATTTACATTTGCATATATGAGCGTTACTGTAATTTGAATTTCGAGGTTTTCTTCTAATTATATATTCAAATTAAAATTCAAGGTTCAATAATGTTTATATGCTGTCAAATTTATGTCATTTTATTTTTCAAATTTAATAATCACATTATATAATTAACCAAGGTTCATTGACATTTTAAATTTAAATTAATTTTTTTAATAAATAATTAGTAACTAGTGATTAAAATTACTAAAATTAGTATTTTTCTAAAATAGAAATTACAATTAATTTTTAACAATCAGATAAATCGTCGCAACAATCAGGATAAGTTTTTGTTATATTATAATGTGTAGCTGGTTTTCCAAATTTACATTCAATAGTTTTGCATCTGAAATAATTTTATTATCGATTTATAAATGTATAAAAATTTAAAATTTTTATTAAATTATTAATTGTTGATTAAATTTTAAAGACACAATATTGTAATTATAAATTAAAAATTTCACTAGAAAAATTATATAATTAAAAATTGATATTTACGGAAGTATATAATCACCGCCATATGCTTCACGTTGACAGACAACTTTATAACATCCATCTCTTATTTTCGGATCTGTCAAATATTTATGTCCCTCTGGACAATTCACTAGAAAAATTACGTAATTCTTTTATTAATCATTAATATAAATTATTTTATATTTAATTGTTATAAATAAATTATTATGATTTTATTATTTCCATTTTTCTTATAATTTGTATTTTAAAACTAAATTTTACTATTTTATTATTCATATTTCCTTTCGTATGTAAAAATATATTCTTATTAAATCATCAAATTTTAATGATAAATCCTCATAAAATAATAAAGAGATCAAGAAAATGTCATTTTTAGTAATTGAAAATTTTATGACAGGAAATAAATCAATAAAATTTTAATTATTAAGATCGCAATATTTTTTTTAAACATATCAATAATGTAACAATTTAATTCAATGATAGCAAAGAGAAATGAGAAACTCTTATTCTGTTATTTTTTAAAATAGAAATAAAGAGATAATTAAAAAAAATCTATATATGAAGAAAAGAACAAAAAAAAAAATTTACGCTTACCATATTTTGATTTTTGTTCGGAAAAAATAATGCATATTGCCAATACTGAGAGTATTATTAGAGTTTTCATGGTTATGATTGTACAAAATCAAATAGAATATCGTTTTAATTTTCAAGATTAAAGATTCGTGCTTTCGCTTTACGAGTCACAATCTCACTGACTAATTTTTTTCTCTCGTGTGTTTATATATATATATCGACTACCGCGAATTTTTAGATTCAGAATACATTATCTTATTTCACAGTGATAAACAAAAAAAAATTTAGAGAGACACACAAATTTGTTTGTCATACTAGAAGGAAAAAATGTGAAATAATTTTTTTGCACTGTTAATATTTATACAAATATTGTAAATTAACCCAAGCGGAAATAATTTAAAAAAAAAACTATAGACAAATCAAAAAAAGACTGTTTTTTTGTTTTTTATTTCCAATTTAAACAAATTAAAAAAAAATTAATTTAAAATACCAAACAATTCTATGGAAAAAGTTTGAATATTTTTTTTTACGAAGAAATAAATATAAAGTAACTTTTACTACTTTCAAAGTAAATCCTAAAACTGTTTGGAATTTCTGTCATTACTTGGAAAATAGTTTTAAAAAAATACTATTTACCGAGTATAAACGTTACTATTCCACTTTCCAAATTTGAAATAGTAAAAAATTTTAACTAAAATTAGTCACTTTTTGTTTTTTAATTAGTAAAATTTTAATTAATTAGTAAAAAAAAATTCGTTTACTATCGAGTTAGTAAATTTTACTAATTAAAAAACAAAAAGTGAGTCGCACTAATTTTAGTTAAAATTTTTACTAATTCAAATTTAGAGAGCAGGAGTAATTTTTTCTATTTTCGAAAAAGTTGATAGCAGAAGTTTCGGACAGTTCAGATTTTACATTAAGTAGTAAAAGGTACTTTATTATTATTATTTTTTTTTTAATATTAATTCGCATTTTTTTTGCTAATTATATTAATTATTTATAATGCCTAATTATTTATATTAATAATTAACAATATAATATAATAGTTTAATATTATTTTATAGAACTATTCTTTCAGTTTTGTAAATCTTTGATTCTATCCACCTTGACTGTGAGAAAAATTCTTTCGCCACCTATGAGCAATCAGTCGAACTAAAATACGAAACGCCATCATTTGAAAAACGTTTATAAGTTTTTATTATCCATAATAATAATAATAATAATATGTAAACTCAAATTTAAAACATTTTTTTTAAAACAACATTTAAAAATTATAATTTAATAATAAAATTAATTTTTCCACAGACTTTGTAGAACAGAATACCTACATTAGAGTTCTAGCGGAACGTAGAGCGGCGCCTGTCACTCACTACGTCCCAGATAACACGGAAACTTGCAGCAAGCTTGCGGCAAGCTTACCGTGCAAGCTTGTTAAGCTTGCTGCAAGCTTGTCTGAGCTAGCGAAATGTCCGACCCAGGGCAAGCTTGCCGTGAAAGCTTGCTGCAATCTTGCCATGAAAGATTGCTACAAGATTGCTGCAAGCATACTAAGAATGATTGCGGCAAACTTGCCGTGAAAGATTGCTGTAAGCTTGCTGCGTAAGGTTGCAGGAGAATTTCAACAAGCTTCTGGAAAGGTTGCTGCAATTTTTAAAAAATACATTTTAAATTAAAAAAAAATTTATTTGTTTTCTAAATTTGAAAATCCTTGTGACGTTTATTATTATTAATTATGTCCTGTTTATTTTCATTTGGAAACTTAACGAGAAAATTTTCGAAACAAATTTGAGGGGACTGGGAATTGAACCCGGGTTCGACAGACAAGAAGAATGCCGTTTAGATCACTAAAATCGATCAATAAATTTCTTTGAAATTAATTTTTTTAAAAAAAGGATTAAAAATATTAAATTGTTAATAACAACAACAAAATTTTTTTTTTTGCAAAATCGTTTTAGGGGATGATTGTGCATATAAAATACTATAAGAAAAATAATATTTCAACAAAAAATAAATTTTTTCAGGTTCAGGTGGCACGTTTCAGAAATTCTTTTACTCATTTATAAAAATAGTAAAAGAAAGAAAAAATGATTAATTTTGGATAGGAAGAAAAATATATAAAAAAAATGAAAATAGAAATATATATTAATTTTCCTCGTTTCGGAGTTTTTTTTTTTTTTTTTTTTTTGGGAGTTGCTTAAATTCAGAGAAGTTTGCTGAGCAAGTATTCTTGAGCGAGAGATTCATCCCCCATGGGAGATGAGAGAGAGAGAGAGGCAGTGTGAGTGGGTTCAGTCACGAAGAAACGTAAGAATGGGAATAGAACCAGAGTGTACGCGAAGCTGCAGAGGTGTCACCGAACTGGCTGAGTCCATTCCCGGGGCTTTGTTGAACGGGATTGGTAGCGAACCCTTGGGACACGCTCTAGCTGAAGAAGATCCCTATTATATGTCCAGAGAAGGACGAAATGAGCTTCCTGGGACTTTCCTTCCATTCATTCACTCTATTTCTCTCTCTCTCTCTCTCTCCCTCTCTCTCTCTCACGATAAACCGATCGCTCGTCAGCAATCATTTCGTTCAGAGAGTCCGTGCAAATGTACTTCTCAAAAGTAAATCAACGACAACCAATCTTCTTCTCATCTTTCACATACTCAAGGTCATTTTTTTCCGATTTTCCACTGTAAAATTTACTCTTCAAAAAAAAAAAACCTTTTTTTTCTATTTTTCTTGATAAATAAAAATAGTTTTGGAAAAAAAATGTAATTTTTTTTTCCATGGAAAAGGAAAATCAATATAGAATATTAAAGTAAAGGGTATTTTTTTTTCTCTGTTTTAGTAATGACATTGATGTTGGTTCGCGCAAATATTACTGGGAACGAAAAATTACTTAGAAAAATGATGACTTTGTGTACTTTTTTTTTTTTATTTAAATGATAAAACATGTGTTTTTCTATATGCACGATCTATACTGATTATTGCCTTCGATATTTATTCTTCGAACGTCCTTCAATGTAGAGAAAAAAAAATAGAATGTATGTCAAACGTACAAAATCATTCAGTCAAGTAACATGTGCAAAACTTTTTATTTGAAAAAAAAAGTAAAATTTACGGTTAATGAAAAAATTCAATTACCATCTAGATAATTGAGAGGTAATTCGAAAGTAAAACGAATAATTAGAAAATAAACCATAAAATTAACATTGGAAAAATAATACGAAAATAAAATTTTAATAGAATATTGGTAATATTTTCGGCTATTAATAATAAAAGTGAATTAGTTTTTGGTGAAATAATTAATTTTTGGAGAAATTAAATTAAAAAGAAACCATATCCAGTGATAAAAAATTGTGCAAAAATTTGAAAGAAATTTTTTTTTTTTTTTTTAAACAAAAAAGAAAAAGTGGTTTTCAGAGAACAAAATGAATCTGAAGAGAGCGAATAACATTCTAAAGAGACATTTGCAATTATCAGCGTTCATTTACGCAATTTTTGGATCAGGAACAATATGTTGGTCCAATTCACCATTTTTTAAATTAACATTCATCTTGCGTGCAATTCAAGCAACTTTTATAATGCAACGTATACAAAAATACATTTTCATAATTATTCTTTCATCACGTTATTGGAGGGACAAATTATACATTTGGATTTGGCTCGCAGTAATATTGTTTCAAGTAATGAAAATGTTTGCAATGTTCATTAGTGGACTCCGTGAACAAAATCTCATTTCATCAGTTGCCAATGATTTAGTGAAAATTGACAAAACAATTCTTGAATTTTCCATGAGAAAAAATCGTAAATCATTGCTCTACAGTTATAAACTTTATTTTATCGATGCAATTGGTTGTTGTTTTTTTATTTCTTATCAAATAATGAAATATATGGAAAAAAATGTCTCATCAGGTTTA